AAAACTTTTGAGAGAAATCTGGTTGAGATAAGACTGGAGCACTAACAAGTTTTTGTTTTATAGCCAGAAAAGCAGCCTCAGCATCGTCATTCCATGATATTGTTTGCTTTTTCTTTTTACCTTTAAGGAGAGCATTAAGTGGATTAACAAGAGAAGAAAAATCTTTAATAAAACGTCTATACCAAGAACACATACCGATAAATCTCTTGACTTCAGTAGAAGTCTGAGGACGAGGATAATTCGTCATCGATTCAACTTTTGCAGGATCGGTAGCTAAAGAGTTATTACCCACTATAAAACCTAAATATTTTAATGTGGTTTTAAAGAAATTACATTTTTCAAGATTAATAGTTAATCCAGCTTCCTTAAGCAATTTTTGTACTGTTTTTAAAAGTTCTATATGATGTTCAAAAGTAGGAGAGCAAATCAAAATATCATCAAGGTAAGAAAAAATATGAGGTTCATATTTAGGACCAAATATGGAGTCTACAAGACGTTGCTGAGTCTGAGCGGCATTACACAAACCGAAAGGTACGACATTAAACTGATAATGACCACGACCAATAATAGAGAAAGCAGTTTTTTCTTTAGATGCCTCGTCTAGAGGAATCTGCCAAAATGCTTTACGAAGATCAATAGATGAGATAAATTTAGCATTACGTAAGTTACATAGAATACGATCTACGTGCGGTAAAGGAAAACTGTCATGTTTAGTAATAGCGTTCAGAAATCGTCCATCAAAACAAAATCTATACTCTCCATTAGATTTTTTAACTAATAAGGTAGGAGAAGACCAAGGACTATTAGACTCTTCGACTACACCTAACTCAAGCATAGAATCTAATTCTTTATTTAAAATGTCCTGCATGTACGGAGAAAGTAAGTAAGGTTTCTTTTTAAAAGGTTGATTATCTCCTGTATCTATAGTTAACTTAATTTTATTTGTGCGGCCTAATTTTTTATCACTATCAATCTGCTTAAATAATTCTAATACTTTAAAAGCTTCATTTTTTTCAAAAGGAGATAAGTCATCTAGAGAAAACAAGTTAGAACTAAAAGAACTGTTAGAAAATGGCTCCACTATATCTAGTTTAATAGAATCATTCTGAATAAGATAACTATTGTTTTTAAAATTCATAATCAAGTTAAATGATTTAACAAAATCCATACCAAAAATAAAAGAATGAGTTACAGAAGGAACTACAAGAGCTTTAATCAGTCTAAAACAAGTACCAATAGAAATAGGTAAGTCAACTAACCCTATTACTTTTTGTTCCTTGCCATCTGCGGTATAAAGATTAGAATGTTGGATAGGATGAACTTTTATTTTTAACTTATTTAAAAACTTTAAACCCTCATTTCCAATGATAGAGGTAGTGGCACCGGAGTCAAGTAATACAGTTATATCCCTGTCAAAAAGACGTACTGATATATAAGGTCTATTATCATTAACTTTTTTAGAAAACAATGGTAGAATTTCGTTATTATGAAATGGTGTTTTATAAAAATTTGAAACATGTTTAAGCCATTTTCTCCACTCAAAAATATTAAAGTAACTTTTAGTGGTTGAACCATCACCAAGCAATCGACCACTTGCAATGACTGGTGATTTAACTAGTTTTTTGAACATTTACTACAATTTGAAACTTTAACATTAGGCTCGCCACAACGAAAACAAAATAACTTACGTTTTTCTCTACAAGAATTGTACGTATGATTAGGTAAATTACAATTGAAACAAATTATCTTAGATTTAGAGTCCTTAGAATTTTCAGTAGATTTCTGAACGTTATTTTTAAAAGAATTTTTGTTAGAGGTAGATACGTTTTTTCGATCATGAAACTGCTTTTTATATACAGAGGTAGAAGTACTAGGCTGTGAGTCGTCCAAATAAGATAAATGCGAATTTTTCTTAGAAACAGATTGAGAAGTTAACTGTACGACTTCTTCCAATCTTTTACACAAAATAGACAAGTCATTAACACTATCTGCAGTATGCAAAGCTAACTGATTAATATATTCAGGTAATAAATTTTTACGAATATACTTAACCTTAGTAATTTCGGCTGGAGGTAAAGATAAACGAGAAAATAAGTTCTCTAAATGAGCAATAAAAATAGTTATAGATTCATTTCTTTTCTGCTTTCTCTGTCTTATCTGTTCCCAGATGTCGTCATCTGCACACGGAGGTAAAAAATCGTTCTTTAATCTTTTAACTAAACCTTGCCAATCAGTAACAATGGATCTTACACTACGATACCAAACAAAAGCATCGCCTATAAAAAATTCAACAGCTGAGTTAAATAATTCTATTTCGGAAAAATTACGGCTTTGAGCTAAATCAGATACTCTTTCTAAAAAATAATAAACGCTTTTCGAATCGCCATTAAATTTTATACCCCAAGATGAAATTGGTTGTTTATTAGCGGAACAAGAAACTACCGGACTAACATTGACTATAGGAGCAACAGAATTATGTTCAAAACTATCATTCAGATTTTGAGTATTAGAGATTGAAACTGTTTTTTCATCTAAATCGGATTCTAACTTTAAACAAGTAGCATACGATTCATTTTTAAATTTAATAATTTCCTCCTCATTAGGCTTTGAAATTACTATCCGTCTTACACGACCAGATAAATGAGCTAATCTAGATTTTACTCTTAAAAATGTACTATCTGCAGAACTACCCTCAAAATCAGAAATTAAACTTGTAATAGAAGATAAACTTTTATTAATTTCAGTTTGTTCCGTCATAAAATCAACTTTATAACTGTCCATATTAATTTGAGAACCTGGATTGTTTAGTTCTTTCTTTAAAAGTTTCGAAAGCATCTTTCTTTTATCATCAACGCCCCTTTCAGTATAAACAAATCGAATATTTAACTCATACTCCAACTCATAATCCAACAAATGATTAACTCTAAACTTTTCTAAATCCATAATTACTGAATAAATTTTACAAATGTAAATTCTAAATAAGTATTAGTTAAAATTAAAAAATAAATAAATCAATTACAAAAACAAAATGACTTGAAATAATTTTTTTTTATTTGACCACCCTGTATACTGTTCAAAAAATATTCAGGAAAATAATCTAAATAGAATTGATAAAACTACGAATGTTAAAATACGTCGGAGAAAAAGAATTTCTATGTCAATATAAAAAACTATTTGGTATGAAATAAAAAAAACTGGTAAACAACACGCGATGAAAATATCTATAAATTTAGTTAAAATTTTAGGTAAACAATTTGTAATTAATAATTTTATGCAGATTTTATATATAGAAAAATAGACAGAATATAGACAGAAAAAACTAGAAATAGAAATAGAGAAAAGAAAAAAACACAGCAATTTCACCGTCAGAATAACTTAGATCACAGCTATACCATACCAAAAAATATAGAAAAATAGTACCAGATACCGAGGAAAAATACAATATACCTGTTTTTGCAAAAGGAAAAATATGAAATTAAAGTCCAGAACTGAATAGATAAAAATAGATACGTTTTAGGCAAAGTTAATATTAAATAGTCTAGTTTATCTCAGCAAAAATAATAAACCAAATTATAAAGACGTAAAAAAATCGATGTAAAACAATTTTATTTTTTTTTAATTTAAATTCTCAAGGCCCCACGTTGGGCGCCATTTTGTAGCATTAGAAGTTATTAAAAAATGATGGAATGTTTTTTTTTTATAAGAATTTTCTTTTAGAAAAAATATTAAAACAACTAATACTATGCGACGGAGCTGTTCGCCGGTGAGCAATGGGTCGTAAGCTAGTGAAAATTAAATTGTGATAATTACGTCTTTATAATATACTAGGCGCCACTCAGTTTTCCATTTACTTTCAAAACTTCTAAGTTGAGAACTGAGAAATCAACTCAGAATATAGGTATTACTTATTTTTAGGAATTACACAAATGAAACGCTGAGATAAACTAACAACTAAGTATAATTAATAATTAAATGTTAATTAGAATAAAAATAAGACTACGAATAATTTGATGTTTGAAAATGTTGGTTGGTAAATAGTATGTGTATTAAAATAGATCACTCAAGATGGTAGTTAAATCTGCACGCTTCTGAATATTAATATTTTATTAATTATTCCGCAAAAAATCTGACGATCTTGGTACCAAAATATAGGGACTCTTTATATTAAAAAAACTGTACTATGTATATATCAGAAATATGCATAACATGAATAAAATATTTCAAAGTGACTCTAAAAGTAATAAAATATCTAATATGCCTGAAGGGCTTGAAGCATTAAAGTGAACTTAAATTATATAAAAAGAAATGATCTGGCCTTTTATATCCGTTCTGGTCACAAGCTGGTTGTGGTGAACTGCTGGAACTGGATCGTGATTAAAACGTCTCCACCCAGACAGGATCGGAAAATGCTGTATATTCAGGAGATTCCTCCGTTATTCAACGTGTATATTGTAGGGACAAACGTGGCCCAATTGTCAGATACAATAAACAAAATGGCACCAGAAATGCGTACCATAAAATAAAACCCTGTACAAATAGAAAAAAGGTATTAGGAAACGTTATGTAAAAAAATAAAGGTCTTACCTCCGCTCACACAAATTACCTCCGCTCACACAAATTTCAAAAATGCCAAAAAAAACGCCGATAATTCTATCGGGTTCGGCTTCAACCACCAATATAGCGATAAAGGTAGGCACGAGGTATAGGTATACCTATACCGTCAGAAATAAAGTGACGAACAACTTCAACCGGACTGAAATAACTATCCAGAAATAAACTTGTAAAAAAAATAAAAGATAATAACAATACTTAGAATGCCATCTCGGTGCGAGGACTCAAACTTGAATTGTTTAAATAAAATAATTCTGTACATTTATTTAAATTGTGTGAATTTTAAATAAAATGCTACAGGTCAATTAGAAATTGCTTTTAGCGATTTTTATGTTTTTTTGGATCTTCACATAATAACCATTATGTTTTTAAAATGTCACCCTGCATACCTATATTTATACCTTTATGGTCAATTCAGATGATTCACTTATCAAAGATTTTTCTTTTAAGTAGTCAATTAATTGATGCATTGATGTTATTTTATTTTTCAATCTTCTTAGACCCATTTGCAAAGTATGTATTTTTTATTTTCTTTGTTCCCAAATTTTTATGAGACTTAAATTTCTACATAATATCATTATTATACCTCATTAACATACTTCTTTCTGAAATTAAATATCTTTTGCACAATTTTACTTTAAAATACAGGGTGGCGCCTCTCATGCTACCAAGGAGTACGACAGTTAGTATTGAAATTAAATTTTGGGGCATATGTAGGTTAATTTAGAGTATTTAAACATATAAATGTATAAAATATGTGCTTTTAAAAATAGAGAGTTCTATTAGGTGTCGCCAAAAAGTTACACAACAAAGTTTTGTTTTTTTGTAATGTAATTTGTTTTTTATTGCAAAGTTTTGTTTTTTGTAATATTTGATTTTTTGGATTCTATGAGGAAAAATAAAGGTGAATTTCATTATTGGACTAAAATGTAAGGTTTTTAACATATTTAAAATTTTGTACTTGAAATCAGATTACAACAGGACTCAAACAGTTATACAGGGTGACAAAATTAATATTGAATATTGACCACTTTTAAAAGCAAGTTTCTCTTTTATTTCAAATGGAACACGCAGAATACTATTCTGATCTTTTAATTGCAGTGTGCATTCATCAATTAATAGAATGCTTAAATGTCAAATGCATGAGTACACAATGTGTAAAGTACCATTTAGGTAGCTGTTACTGAAATTTAAAGTTTATTCATTATTTTCACCAAATGTGATATGACAAGCCTTACATTTTAGTATTTTAGACATATGCTTCTTTAATGAAACTCACCTTTATTTCTTTCCTAGAATCCGAAAATCAATTATGTAATTTATAGGGTGTTATTTACAATTACAAAAAAAAAACTTTGATGCGTAACTTTTTCTGGGGACACTCCGCAGAACTCTTGATATTTTTGTAAAACGCTTTCTATTATCCTACATATGCTACCAAAATTACATTTCAATATAAACCACTATTCGCTTTGAAGCCTCCGCGTCGTATGAGAGGCGCCACCCTGTATATAATGTACACATAATTTTTACCTTTTTCTGATAGGACTTCTTGAGCCAATAAATATCCAACTATTGAAAGATCAGAAAATGAGAATTATCTTACTATGCTGTAAACAAAAAAAACATTAATAATTAATTTTTCAATAAAAATAACAATAAAAATATATTTTATATATATATATCAATAAAATAAAAATATATTTTTTGTTCTTTAAATTTTTCGTAAATACTAATAATTTCCTTCTAATGGTATTATTAAATTTATCATGGGAAGTTTAAACAAGAAGATTTTCTAGTGCAAAGAGCAAAAGCTCATGCATATAAAATATATGTATGTAAACAATATTAAAATACATGTATAAAATATATTTTATCAATGTTCTTACAAATTTGAGAGGCCAGCCAAGGAACAAGCCAAACTGCCAGTCCCTCAGCGGGTCTGGAGGCTCATTTATGTAAAATATTTTTTGGGTGGAGTGCGAACTAGAAGAAAACCTAGCCTAAATAATACTAATATTGTTACAATACTTATTAACTGATAAAATGTATTTCACTGCTTTTTACCTGCATGATAAGGCCCCAGCAAAAATGGTAGTATCTATTTGAGGCTCAGCATTTGGTCTTATTTGCCTTCAACCAGTTTATTCGGTGATCATAATATCGCTCTTATCAAACTTATCAGAACAAATTTGATTGCACACTTTTGATTGATTTTCCAAACTCTAGAGTGAAATGCTTCGCTGTCTACGCTCAGTATTTACAGTAAAGCTACAAAAATACTATTGGTTACATATGCAACACATACATAATATATATTAAGTATAATAAACCTATTTGATAAAATATGTAAAATAAAAATATGTGGTAAAAAAGGCAAAATTAACCTAGTAGGACAGACATATCTTTATAATAAATAAAAATAAATAATGGATCAATCTTACCTATAATATATGTTACGGTTAATATCTAAAACCTGCTAATAATAACTAGAGCTCAAATATACCATTTAGATCGCAAAAACAGTTTTCTTTCAACATTAGGGGAAGAATTATACAATAGCTAAAGCCTGAATCCTACTTGAAGAGTGCTTGAAGCTCTGGTCTGAAGTAATTGTAAAATGGTGATGGTACCTTTAGGTACGCCGCCAATCTTAAAGTTATTGATGTAAATTTGATTGATATTCTACAAATAATGTATTAACTGTTTAAGTACGGATACTCGGCTAAATGTTTGAGATCACTTCATTATTTATTTTTGAGAAAATTTGAGGTTAGAATATACCTTTTGGCTCGCGTCTACGCGTATGGCTGGCAGTAACAATGAAATATTGAAAATCTGGATTTTATTTTATTTTATATTTTCCTGTTAATTTTGAAAAATAGCGATAGCGATTTTGATATTCAAATTTCAGGTATTAACTACCTATAATAGCTGCTTTATTGGTACAGATATTAGCCATAACATCCACAATTTTTAAAACATAGGTATATAGCGGTTTGGAATGTGAGTGTAATTCCTTAGTGTAATTCTAATTTCACAATCGAAAACGCTATCTAATAACAAAATATACGCATTTTTGTAATAATCTACGTATAGTTCTAAATAGTAGAGACGCCACTGTTAAAGCTAGAAAGACGTAATGTTACTTACCGCCGAAATATCAATCCAGGGGTAGAATAATCCACCTTTTTACAAATTATGCACTTGCGAACCACCGTAGATAGTTAAAATACTACTTTGAATAGTTTTCTTCGCAAAAAAACGCAATAATTGCTTGAAAACCTGTTAAAACCCAAAAAATTCACAACCGCAAAGGAAATCTCGCAACAACGGCCTGTAAAACATTTGATGAATGAAACCGTCAAAAATCAGCGTAATTCCTACAGATTCCTACAATTTGTAGTAAAATCTCAACCACAACGATGCCAAGCGTTGCCACAGTAATTTCCCTAATATATTTTAATATAATAATTTAAACAGAAAAAATAATTTCTAAAAATAATTTCAAAGATATAATCTATGTATTTTAATTAAAATTATATACCTACACAAATATTTAGTTTAACGTATCTATCGTACCCAAAAAACATTAATAAGAATAATAACATTTTTAACAACAATACTACAATCTATAGGCGCAAGGGAAATCTGTCATCATCGATTTTTGTGCAACACGGTTCGTGATCGCGGTAAAATGTAAGTTGTTTTGTCTCCCTTTATTTAGATGTCTTTGATTTATACCATTAAGAAAGTCCTTAATACCGTTTATTAAGGATTTTCTATGTAGAAAGTGTCTTTAGTAAAAATCTATTAAAAAATTCATTCAAAATTAAAAGTACGAAACTTTCAAGAGTCTTACAACAAGACAAAGATCAAGAGAGTCTTGGTCTTGCATTTGCTCATCACTACGAAGAAACAACAGCACATAGCACAACAGCACATACCATAGCATTTAAATATATAATTAAAGCAGTAATATGTAAAACCAAAATAAATAAAAGAAATATTTGATGCTAAGATTCGACTCAAAAAATACCTAAATATTTTATAGGCATACTTGTGGAGATGTAGATAAAAAGATTTACTACGACATTTCGATCTGATTTGAAATTCCTAAGAACCCTTCAAGGGATTATCCCTTTTGAGAAAAGACGAATCGGACATTTTGAACCTATACTTAAGAGATCTGAGAGAGGCAAGTTAGGTTTATATTATCAATTTGGCAGAGTTTTTTTTAGTTAACGAGTGATCCTATAATCCAAAAAGACTCTTGAACAAATACATTTAATGTAGCTATTTTTTACACTATCTACTGCATTAAATGTCAATTTTTTTACACTAGTGCAAAAAACAGCTTGACTTGTTAATGACGAGTTTAACTATATGGAAAAAAAATCTGTCAAATCCTGGAATGTAAACCAAGTACCAGTACAGTACGTCTGTCCGTTCTGTGGCTACGGGGTATCCGTGAGAGGGGAAACGATATTCTCTCGATGTTTTTCCTAAAAAATTAGACGACGCGTCCCATCAATAAAAATTCGACAAATTTGCAAGTAGCCAATAAAATGAGTGGGCGGAGCGATTTGCGGTGACGTACTCGTCAAGTCGACGTATAAAATATATTGCTGTTTATTTAAATGTTTTTTGTCCACACTCTTTTCATAGACACAGATCCAGCAGACGAACTGTACTAGACACCTCGCAACAACATTCCGGAAAAGAGTTTTAAGTTTTAAGTGAAGAACAAGAATCCGAGACCTCCACGAGAAGAAATGAGAATCAAATTAAAATAACTACTGGAAATGAAGTTTGTCCATCCTTTTATCCAACCAATGACCTTCGTAAATTGTTCAAATTTATTTATTTTTTTATATTTATATTATTGCGACATTAAAAAAATAAAAACAATATTTATACCTAGTGACATTGTTAGTGGAAATATTATTCTGTGAATTACCTACTGTAAAAACTTTTTAATAAATATTTAAATAAGAATATCAATTCGATTGTAAAAAAAATGTTGTGTGCAACATGTGCAAAAAGCACATTTGTTGCACTCAGCATGATTGCAGCTCACGACTTTGTCTCGAGCTGCAAAACTCATGCGTCCTACAAACAATATGTCCTTTTTGCAGGTGAGGAAAGTTAGCAACCCATTAAAAGCAGGAATTATAAAATACGATCCTGCTTGAGCTGCTACAATCCTGCTTCAAATCCCAACCCAGCAACACCTACCTATTTTGAGCTATAGTTACTTCTATTTTGGTTGCTGACTTCCCAGTTGGCAACACATGGGAAGCAGTATCGCCAAAACTGGTTCCTGCTTGCGTTGCTATACCCTGCTGCATCCTGCTGCAAATTTCGTCCCAGCAACACTTGTTGTTTTTAAGATACAGCAAGTTTAAGTCTGATTGGTGACATCACACATAGCAACACCATAACAGCAGGATGGCTGAAACGTTCCTGCTTTGGCTGCTATAATCCTGCCTTATCCTGCTTCAAACCCCATACCAGCCATGCACTCTTGTCGTTTTTAAAATTGAACGAATCGATTCCTGGTAATCAGTCGCACATTAAGATTAGGAAATATTTTTTTCAACTTGATAAGTTTCAGCTAGGCTGCTATTTTTTTGCATTATTTGCCTGAAATATGTATAAGCTTTATATTTTCGTATTTTATAATTCCTGCTTTCAATTAGTTGCTAACTTCCCTCACCTGCAAAAAGGACATATTTGTTGTTTGATAACTTCCCCGATCTCCTTTTTGCACTAGTTACTCAAATAACTATTGTCTGTAGTGGGTGTTTTTCAAAGGCCACCCTTGTAATTTATTTTTTCAAATAATAAAACGAAATTAAAAAATGGCAATGGGTAGGACACCTGCCAAGAAGAACGGACAGCAGATGGACCGCAAAAATTACAGCATGGTACCCACGAGGAATTAAAAGACCTAGAGGAAGACCGAATCTGAGATGGGACCATGATATTAGGAAACTTGCAGGGATAACTTGGGCCCGCATAGCCAACAATAGACAACAATGGGCCCAACTGCAAAAAGAGTATGTGAGGGAGGCTATATACACCATAATTGGAAATGCTTGAATAAGTTGAAGATAATGATGATGATGAAAACGAAATTTGGTATGTTAGTATATGACATAAATCGGGATGAATTGACGCATTCAATTATTGTTTTCGGTCACTTTCTGTTTCACAGGAAATAACTACAACTTTGGATTTTTAAATGGTACTCACAATATTTTTTTGTTTTATATGTACGATAGAAAATGATATTCTGCATAGAACGACATAATATATGTCAACTTTTGACATTTTCAATTAAAAATATAGTATTTTAAATTTCAATCTAGAAATCGTCTAATGTTTTATGTGTCTTTTCCTGGTCGGTTAAAGCTCAAAATCGTATTTTTCATCATAACTCAATTTTTTTCAAATGGAACGAGGGTGGCTCATTAGCATATTTGAGAAAACATTTTTTTATGAATAATTTGGTATTTGAAGTCAAATTGTCACTACATTTATGACCATGACCATCTGGATTAAAATATAAATTGCAATTTTTTTAATTGAAAATGTCAAAAGTTGTTAATTAACAACTTTTGACACTTTCAATTGAAAATAAAGTAAACAAATAACAAAGAAGTGAACAAAACTAGTTGAAATACGTCAAGCAATCCTCATTTATGACATATACTATCATACCAAATCTATTTTTTTATTTCAAAAAATAAAAAAAAAGTTATAGGGTACCTATAGGGTGAGCCAGTTTTGAAAAAAAAAACACACAATAAGATTAATAAATAACCACAATAAGATTTATCTTTAACATGTTATCGTTTTCAGAAACAAAAAAATGTGTTATTAAATCAGTCTATGATTACTCCTAACCAGGTAATGCTTTTAAAATTTTAAAAAATCAGCTCGCCTTCAAGTAATTCTATATTATTATTATTACTAGCTTCAATCGTTTTTAACTGGATGGTGTTTTGCCAATTTATTTTGAATTTGTCTGTATGAGTTCGTTAGAAAAATCTATTATATTTTTGTTTTTACTGTTATTTATGGTCAGTCCCCTAGGTAGACGCAAACAGTATTATTCGAAATTAATTTATGCACCAGTGGAATGCGTACGGCTTGTTTACATTGTGGCGATATACCGGCGGCCAAAATACCAAAACTCTATTTTACCCTATACCTACCGATTGCGATTGCAAATCACGTAGTTTAATGATTATTTAATTGTCGTCCGGCGTACGCAATATTGCATATGAATTAGTATAGAGAATTATGTTTCCATTTTGTGTACGTCAGTGATACATTGCTTGCAATAATATATGTAGGTATTTATAAACTAGATGCAATTTTTTAAAATTTAGTGACAACCTGTGACTACGACTAGCGTAGATCTTTTGTGCAACAACCTAAGATATTTTTCTGAAAGATAAATTAGCCAGTTACTAAAACAAATGTTTTTATTGATAAATTAGCCAGTTAGTTAAAACAAAACCAACTTGGAAGGAATGCTATCACGGTATTGAATGGGATACTGTGGGACAGAAGCATAAACAACAAGAACAAAACTCTAATATAA